TGAAGGAAAATAAAGAAAGGAAAAAAGGTCTGTGCTTTCATTGGTTGAGAAACCAAGTGCACCTAGTGACTTTTAATGTTACTGAAGATATGGCATGTGAAAAAGGCATCTTTTTGCTAGCACAGTGGCTCATATCTATAATCCCAGTATTTTTTGTTTTGTTTCTGTTTTAAATCTTAACCAGGCTGGTCTCAAACTCCTGGGCTCCTCAGATCCTCTCACCTCAGCCTCCCAAAGTGCTAGGATTACAGGAGAGCCACCACACTCAGCATGTAATTGCAGTGTTTTGGGAGGCCAGCTCTATCTCACATTGGATAACCATTGCATTATTATTTTTATTTAAATTTTTTTTTTTTTTTTTTTTTTTTAGAGAGAGTCTTGCTCTGTCACCCAGGCTGGAGTGCAGTGGTGAGATCTCCGCTCACTGCTACCTCAGCCTCCCAGGTTCAAGCAATTCTCCTGCCTCAGCCTCCTGAGTAGCTGGGACCACAGGTGCCTGCCACCACACCATGCTAATTTTTGTATTTTTAGTAGAGACAGGGTTTCACCGTGTTAGCCAGGATGGTCTCGATTTCCTGACCTGGTGATCTACCTGCCGTGGTCTCCCAAAGTGCTGGAATTACAGGCGTGAGCCACCGTAAACGGCTTATTTTTTAAAAAACTTTTTTGAGACAGTCTTTTTTGTATTTTTAATAGAGGATCAGTTGAGGCCAGGAGTTTAAGACCAACCTGGGTGGAAGTCTCTATTCTATAAAAAAATAATTAGGCCTGGTGGCCTGTGGCTCAACCTGAGTGACAGAGTGAGACCGTGACTCTAAAAATCAAAAACAAAAAAACAAAAAAAACTCTACCACAATCTTTTTTTTTTTTTTGCGATGGAGTCTTGCTCTGTTGCCAGGCTGGAGTGCAGTGACGCAATCTCGGCTCACTGCAACCTCCGCCTTCTGGGGTCAAGCGATTCTTCCACCTCAGCCTCCTGAGTAGCTTGGGACCAGAGGCGCGTACCACCACGCCTGGCTAATTTTTGTATTTTTAGTAGAGACGGAGTTTCACCATGTTGGCCAGGATGATCTCAATCTCTTGACCTCGTGATATGCCTACCTATGCCTCCCAAAGTGCTGGGATTACAGGCGTGAGCCACCAATCCGGCCTATTTTTTTTTTTTTTTTTTTTTTTGAGATGAAGCTTCATTCTTGTTGCCCAGGCTAGAGTGCAATGGCACAATCTCCGCTCACTGAAACCTCTGCCTCCCAGGTTCAAACGATTCTCCTGCCTCAGCGCCCCCTCAACCTTCCCAACCCCCGCCCCACGTCTGCCCAGTAGCTGGGATTACAGACATGCGCCACCACGTCTGGCTAATTTTGTATTTTTTATTAGAGACCGGGTTTCTCCGTGTTGGTCAGGCTGGTCTTGAACTCCTAACCTCAGGTGATCCGCCCACCTCGGCCTCCCAAAGTGCTGGGACTACAGGTGTGAGCCACTGGGCTTCACCCACAATCTTATCACACTAAGAAAACTGGTAACTTAATATCTAATATGCAGAACATATTCAAATTTCTTCAACTGTTCCAAAAATGTATTAGAGTTTTTTTTTTTTTCTTTTCCAATCCAAGATTCAATCATGGTTTGTTTTTCCATATGGAATAACTTCCCAGCTTTTTGTTTTTCAGGGTATAGACATGAATTGTCTTATAGAATATTCCTCATTCTGGATTTCTTGTCTCATGTTTTCAGCATAGTTAAGTTCAGGTTACACATTTTGGCAATAGGTTAATAGGTTATGTGTACAACTCAAGCATTATGTTAGAGTCAGACATCAGATAGTTACACCATTTTTGATACCAATTTTGACCATCTGGTTAAGGTGGTAACCACTAGATATAACATTACTATAGAGTGCTGGTCTCTAGTTTTAGCACCCATTAATTATACTTTCCTGACATTTATCTCTCTGGATATGGTAGTTTTCTAATTCTATAATCTCTTCTACATTTCTTATTGACTTTCTAATGAATAGCTCCCACCCACACCCACCTGCTTCCCCTCCCCCCACAGACAGGGTCTCACTCTATCACCAGGCTGGAGTCCAGTGGTTCTATCTTAGCACACTACAACCTCAGCCTCCCTGGTTCAAGCAATTCTCCTGTCTCAGCCTCCCAAGTAGCTGAGATTACAAGCATGTGCCCCTGTGCCCGACTAATTTTTGCATTTTTAGTGGAGATGGGGTTTCACCATGTTGGCTGGGCTGGTCTCAAACTCCTGGCCTCAAGTGATTCACCCACCCCAACCTCCCATAGTTGAGGATTATAGGTGTGAGCTGGGATTATAGGCGTGAGCCACCGTGCCAGGTCTTACACTCATCCTTTTTTGTTATTTTACTGTAGATGTTTTTAATTCAGTGTTTTATCACCCTTTATGGTGGTAGTTCTCAGTGTCCTCAATAAGCAACATTACCTGGGAACTTGTTAAAACTGCAACTTTACTTGGGAACTTGTTACAAATGCAAATCAGAATCCGAGAGGCACCCCAGCAATGTGTTTTAACAAGGTCTCCCTCCTGGCCAACATGGTGAAACCTTGTCTCTACTAAAAATATTAAAAAATTAGCTGGGCGTGGTGGTGCGTGCCCGTAGTCCCAGCTACTTGGGTGGCTGAGGCAGGAGAATCACTTGAACCTGGGAGGTAGAGGTTGCAGTGAGCCAAGACTGCACCACTGCACTCTAGTTTGGCAACAGAGTGAGACTCTGTCTCAAAAAAAAAAAAAAAGTACTCGGCATGGTGGCTCATGCCTGTAATCCCAGCACTTTAGGATGCCACAGTGGGCAGATCACAAGGTCAGGAGTTGGAGACCATCCTGGCCAATATGGTGAAACCTGGTCTCTACTAAAAATACAAAATTAGCTGGTTGCGGTGGCACATGCCTGTAATCCCAGCTACTTGGGAGGCTGAGGCAGAATTGCTTGAATCTAGGAGGTGGAGGTTGCAGTGAGCCAAGAATGTACCACTGCACTCCAGCCTGGATGGCAGAGTGAGACTCCATGTCAAAAAGAAAAGAAAAAAGAAAAAAAAAAAGGTCTCCTCCGAATTCTCACGTTGGATAACCATTGCATAATTATTATTATTTAAATTTTTGAGACAGAATCTTTTTTTGCATTTTAGTGGAGATGGGGGTTTCACCATGTTGGCCGGGCTGGAATCAAACTCCCAACCCCTCAGGTGATCTGCCCACTTTGGCCTCCCAAAGCAGCAGGATTACAGGTGTTAGCGACTGCACACTGCATTATTTTTGTCCCAAATTTGGCCGGTGGACACCTGATGGGCAACTAATTGCTTAAAAGGATGAGATTGTTGTGAGATAGTGGAAGGTACCCACTAAGAGGTAAAGTGAAAAAGTTGAGAACAGGGTCACCCTTTTGGTAAAACAAAATGAAACAAGAAAATGTTCCATAAGTTTATGGGTAGGAATAGCAAACCTAATGCCTTATTTTACATCCTGTGCCTTTTTTTTTTTTTTGAGACAGGGTCTCCCTTTGTCACTCAGGCTGGAGAACAGTAGTGTGATCATAGGTCACTGTAGCCCTCAACGGCCCAGGCACAGGTAATCCTCCCACTTCAGCCTCCTGAGTATCTGGGACCACAGGTCTAAGTCACCACACCTGGGTATTTTATTGTCATTATTATTTAGTAGAAAGGTCTCACAATGCTGCCTAGGCTGGTCTCGAACTCCTGGCCTCAAGGGATCCTCCCGCTTTGGCCTCCCAAAGTGCCGGGATTACAGGCGTGAGTCACCGCGCCCAGCCTATTCTGCGTCTTTTGAATTTAACTCTCCCCACCCCTCCACGGAGTTTCGCTCTATCGCCCAGGCTGGAGTGCAGTGGTGCGATCTCAGCTCACTAAAACCTCTGCCCCGCGGGTTCCAGCGATTTATCTGCCTCAGCCTCCAGAGTAGCATGGGATTACAGGCGCTGGCGTCCACACTTGGCTAATTTTTGTATTTTTAGTAAAGTCGGGATTTCACCATGTTGGCTAGGCTGGTCTCGAACTCCTGACTTCAGGGGATCCACCTGCCTCAGACTTCCAAAGTGCTGGGATTACAGGCATGAGCCACCACACCCGGCGAATTTATCAGGAACTGTATAACACTGATAATACAGAGGAAGAAAACAGCACAATATGATCAAGTTTAGAGGGTCATTCGCTGTAAAAGAACTCTTGGATCTCTTGTTCAAAGAGGTTCAAGCTGCTGTGCTTGTGAGGCCAGGGTAGTTAGTGTCCCTCACATGGCCGGCGATAATGAAAAACTACAAATCAGTTATTTGTCCTTCATTTTCTCCATTCCCCCCACTCACTACACAGCTAAGAAAGCTCAAAGGTACCTTGCAGACACTCAAAGCAGACACTTGAGGGCACCCAACTCTCAGTTACGAGTAGTGCCAGTCATAATGACAGAATGAAGTACCATTGAAAGAGATTGAAAGCGTGTGGGATGTCTCCAGGCTGGAAGTCTGGGCTGGAAATGTCTGCAATGCCTCGTACTTGTGGCCCGTGGGTATCCCAGAACTTCAGAAGCCACTGGTTTCTCCGCCAAACGAAGGATATGCACCTTATGGGCTCGGATCAAAAAAAAATTCTTCTAAACAACCCTCTAATGTTTATCTTTCATAGCCTGCCGGGCACACCCATCTTCAAAGGCAGCAGACGGAAAACAAGTGCCAAGAAGGAAGCACAAATGGCAGTCGCCGCGCTCCCGGAGTCCCAGCACCAAGGCCGAATGACCACTTAGGTCAGGAGATTTTTCCCCTCCAAGTTGCTGTTCCCGGGAGGTGTCCCAACGTCGCTGGTCCAGTCCCTAGCTCAGCACTCCATACACCCGAAGTTTAACAAAAGCTAGTCCAACTTTTTACCAATGGTCTCCAATGATTTTCACCAGTAGAGGGTGGATGAAAGACTAGCGGGCGGTAACCACGGCAACCAAAAAACCGGGCGGAAAGGGTGGGGCCCTGGACGGAAGCGGCGGGGTTCTTAAGCCTTCTCCCGGCGTCCATTTAGTGGCGGGAAAAGCGACTTCTTCTTAGTGGTCTTTTCTTGCTGAGTGGTAGCCTTTCCCCTCAACCAGCAATGGAGGAGCAGCCCCAGAAGCAAGCTGCCGATCAGCCCGCGGACTCCGGAGGGGAAGGCGGGGAAGGCGGGCCCTCGCAGGTCGCCGGTGCCCAGGAGGCGCGCAGCGAGGACCGCATGACCCTGCTGCTCAGGTTGTTCCCTCTGGCTGCCTCAGCCGGAGCCAAGTGGGAGTCATGGGCCGGAGCTCCGCCCTTTGTTGAGAAGGGCTTGGGTTCGAATTTACACTCTGTCACATCTTGGCTCCGTGACTGCCTCATTCGCTTCAACTTTTGTCTTGAACTCCTGACCTCAGGTGATCCACCCACCTCGGCCTCCCAGAGTGCTAGGATTACTGGCTTGAGCCACAGCACCCGGCCCCATTCGCTTAAACTCTTGAAGCTCTTTATTCATCAGCGAAAAGGAGAGAAAAATAACACCCTCGTAGAGAGGTTGTAGGGTTAAATGAAATTGTCTAGGAAAGTGTTGAGCACAGTGCCTCGGGCCCTTAGAAAGTCCTTAGAAGCTGTAATTTCTCCTGCTTCCCCCGCCTCACGCCCTGGGTCTCTGGTTTTCAGACGAGGTGAATGTCAGCGCTAAACTGGAAGGAGGGTGCCCCTACCATTTCTTTTATAACTACGACCCTTTTGTAACCCAGAAGCTTTATTTGTTATTCTAAGGGTGGCTGAGAAAAAGGAGAATAGACCCAAAGTCAGGCAAGCAAGTTTTATTAACTTGCCAGGCTGCTGGGTAACTATCAGAAGAGGCAGCCCCGAGCTTACAAAACGAAGGGTTTATAAGGGGTGGAAGGGGCATAAGGGAGTTTCAGGACTGAGGTCATCTCTCCGGTGGTAACAGGCACAGAGATAGTTTGTCAAGTTGTAACAGACCTACAACTTGAGACCCACAAAAGTCATCATCCTATGACTTTTGTGGCGGCAGTTTTTAAAAAAGAAACCTTATGCCTCAAACAGGAATTTATAAGTATGGATAACAAACATTTGTTTTCCCTGTCCTCCCTCTAGCTGCCCGGATGGCTGTAATCAGGCTTTGCTTAATTGTAGCACGTCTGGCGGCCTTGATGTGGCGCCTCGGTAGTGGTTCAGGAATGCAGCTGCAGAGCAATCAGTGGGAGGGAACGGGTCGGCTTACACGGAGGGCGTTTTCTGAGGCAGCCTGTCACTGTTATATATTCTTCTAAGGGGACGATGTTTATACGTTTCCGCTAAGCGGTTGCTGGGAAAGATTCGATGAGACGGAACATCAGCCTTCTAAAGCAATGAGCAGGCGAAGTTCCTGGACGGAATCTGCCCAACTGCCTATTTTTGTGTGATCACTCAAGCTAAGAATAATTTTTGTGTTTAAGTGGTTGCAGGGAAAAGATAATAAAATATTTCATAATACATGAAATCGATTAGAAATTCAAATTGCAGTGTCCATAAAGTTTTATTGAAATACAACTTTCCTGCCACAAGGGTGGAATTGAGTAGCTAAAACAGAGACCGTGTGACTCACCCTAAAAAATTTGCCATCAGCCCCTTTGCAGAAAAAAAAATTTAAGTCCTCTGTTCTATGTCATAACAAAGGTAGTTTCAAAAAAAAATCATTTTGTGCCCAGCGCGGTGGCTCATGCCTGTAATCCCAACACTTTGGAGGGTGCAGGTTGACGGAACACCAGAAATCAGGAGTTCAAGACCAGCCTGGCCAACCATGGCTAACATGGTGAAACTCTGTCTCTACTAAAAATACAAAACCTAGCCAGGAATGGTGGTGCACTCCTGTAATCCCAGCTACTCGGGAGGCTGAGACAGGAGAATAACGTGAACCTGGGAGGTGGAGGTTGCAATGAGCCAAGATTGTGCCACTGCACTCCAGCCTGGGTGACAGAGCAGCCTCATTGCTTATTTACTTTTCCCAGAAAATAAATGAACTCAAAAGGCAGTTTCAGAATTCAGAGGTTGCAGTGAGCTGAAGATTGTGCCATTGAACTCCAGCCTGGGCAACAGGTAGACTTCAACTCAAAAAAAAAAAAATTTTTTTTTTTTTTCAATGTTTTGAAGAATGAAAAGATACGTGTTTCTTTTTTATTGTCTTTTCCTCCTCACCCTTGCTGTCATCTTAAATTACCATTTGCTCATAGTTTTTCTACATATCATTTTAGATTAATAGAACCGAAAAGCTGTATGAATTACTAATCTTAGTATTAGTATCTTTGTTATTGTTATGACTCTCCTGATAAAATCTGTGTTTATAAATAATTACAGTGGTTTGGGGTTTAATCCTTTCGGTCTATTTCTTCTTTGTATAGCATCCAGTTCAGTCTGGCCTATTAATAAAGTTAAAGGCCAGTTTTTTTCCTCACAGATACTGTTTTTGCTGTGTATTCCATTTTGGGTCTTCCTTTGAGGCCTTGAAGTTCTTCATGCCCATTTTATTTCATTATTATTATTTTATTTTTTATTTTGAGATGGAGTCTCACTCTGTTGACCAGGCTGGAGTACAGTGGCACAATCTTGGCTCACTGCAACCTCTACCTCCTGGGTTCAAGCGATTCTCCTGCCTCAGCCTCCCAAGTAGCTGGTACTACAGGTGCCTGCTACAATGGCTGGCTAATTTTTGTGTGTGTGTGTGTTTCTCTTTTTTTGGCTGTTTCCATCTTCAACATTTGCAGCTGAATTTTTTTTTTTTTGTAGTAGAGATGGGGTTTCACCGTTTTAGCCAGCATGGTCTCTCCATCTCCTGAACTGGTGATCCACCTGCCTCAGCCTCCCAAAGTGCTGGAATTATAGGCATGAGCCATGAGGGAAACTAGAAGTTTGTAATTCTTAGTTTAATTATTTATACTTATTTTCTTGTATCAGCTTATGGAAAAGATGAGTTGGTTCATCATGTGGTAGTGAGTAAAACCTCAGTCAATAAATATGTTGGCCAGGCCTGGTGGCTCAGGCCTATAATCCCAGCACTCTGGGAGGCTGAGGCAGGTGGATCACGAGGTCAAGAGATCAAGACCATCCTGGTCAATGAGGTGAAACCCCATCTCTACTAAAAATACAAAAATTAGCTGGGCATGGTGGTGCGTGCCTGTAGTCCCAGCTACTCGGGAGGCTGAGGCAGGAGAATTGCCTGAACCCAGAAGGCGTAGGTTGCGGTGAGCCGAGATATTGCCATTGCACTCCAGTCTGGGTAGCAACAGCGAAACTCCGTCTCAAATAAATAAATAAATAAGTGACTTTCTATTCTCTTTATCTGTTTTCAGGCTGAGAGCACAGACGAAACAACAACTCTTAGAATATAAATCAATTCTTGATGCAAGTAAGTATTTTCATTTTCAAATTAGGGTTTTTGTTTGTTTTCTGAGACAGGGTCTTGCTCTGTCATCCAGGCTGGAATGCAGTTGCACAGTCTCCAACTTACTGCAACCTTAGCCTCCTGGGCTCCAGCAATCCTCCCCCTTAGCCTCCGAAGTAGCTGGCACCATAGGCACATGCCACCGCACCCAGCTAATTTCTTGTATTTTTTGTAGAGACAGGGTTTTGCTACCACATCCAGCCTCAAGTAAGATTTTGTGAGTTTGATTTCTCAAGGGAAAAGAAAATTAATTTTATCAAAAATTATTTATATATGTCTAGTGTACCAAAACTGGTAAACAAACATGCAGTATATTTATGAAGTATAAGTATAATGAAGGAAACAATGGCATGATAAGAGGGAGGGGCTTCTTTACATAGAGATAACTTCTCTAAGATGATTTTAGAGCTCAGATCCAAATGAGAAGAAAGTGTTTACATTCCTATAGTTTTTGTTTTCTCTGTATAGCTAATACCATTTTTAAGGGATTGTGACATTCAAAAACTTGGGCAGATTTAGTTAATGTTGTAGAATTTCTATACCTAGAAGACAGATGTACGGCAGGCCACAGGAAGTTTAGTTGTAGCTTTCGAAAGAAGTTGTTTATCTAAAATTGACTATCTGCACTTTTAGAGGCCAAGGCAGGAAGATCACTTGAAGCTAGGAGTTTGAGATTAGTCTGGGCAACAAAGTGAGACCTCGTCCTTACAAAAATAAAAAAATTTAGCCGGATGTGGTGATACGTACCTATAGTCCATCTCGGACTCACTGCAGCCTCCAAATCCTGGGCTCAAGTGATTGAACCATTGTACTAGACTCCACTCCACTGGGTGATAGAGTGAGACTGTCAAGCAATCAATAGATAGAGAAATAAGTATTGATTTTTTTTACCATTTAAAAAATATATATATTACTGAGACTTCATTGGTTAAAGGATTGTTTTTTACAATATAGGCATCTATTTTAAGGGTACAATTTGATGAGTTTTGACAGATGTCTAAATCTGTATAATCACTACCATAATCATGATACAGAACATTTTCATCTGAGCATGGTGAATCAATCTGTAATCCCAGCACTTTGGGAGTCCAAGGCAAGAGAATTGCTTGAGCCCAGGGCAACCAGCCTAGGCAACATAGCAAGACCCCATCTTTACAAAAAATAAAAAACAAATTGGCCGGGTATGGTGCCATGCACCTGTAGTCCCACCCAGCTGACGTAGGAGGATTGCTTGAGCCTGGGATATCAAGGCTGCAGTGAGCCAAGATCACAACCATTGCACTCCAGCCTGGGTGACAGAAGGAACCCCTGTCTCCAAAAAACTAAGATATAGGGCCCTGTAATTCTAGCACTTTGGGAGGCTAAGGCAGGTGGATCATGAGGTCAGGAGATCAAGACCATCCTGGCTAACACAGTGAAACCCTGTCTCTACTGAAAATACAAAAAATTAGATGGGCATGGTGGCAGGTGCCTGTAGTCCCAGCTATTCATGAGGCTGAGGCAGGAGAATCGCTTGAACCCGAGAGGCAGAGGTTGCAGTGAGCTGAGATCGCACCACTGCATTCCAGCCTGGGCAGAGCGAGACTCCATCTCAAAAAAAAAAAAAAAAGAAAGAAAAAAAAAAATATAGAACATTTTCTTTTTTTTTTTCTTTTTTGAGATGGAGTTTCGCTCTTGCTACCCAGGCTGGAGTGCAATGGCGCAATCTCGGCTCACTGCAACCTCCGCCTCCTGGGTTCAGGCAATTCTCCTGCCTCAGCCTCCTGAGTGGCTGGGATTACAGGCACGCGCCACCTTGCCCAGCCAATTTTTTGTATTTTTAGTAGAGACGGAGTTTCACCATGTTGACCAGGATGGTCTCAATCTCTTGACCTCATGATCCACCCGCCTCGGCCTCCCAAAGTGCTGGGATTACAGGCTTGAGCCACCGCGCCTGGCCTATATAGAACATTTTCATACCAAAATAGTCCGGTGTGCCACTTCACAGTCAGTCCCCACCCTTTCCTCCAGCAACCACCAATTTGATTTCTGTTACTGTAGAATTGTCTTCTAGAGTTGTGCTATCCAGTATGGTAACCACTAGCCACTGTGGCTTTTTTTTTTTTTTAAGACAGAGTCTTTATCTTGTTGCCAAGGCTGGAGTATAATGGCCGGATCTCAGCTCACTGCAACCTCCGCCTCCTGAGTTCAAGGGATTTTCCTGCCTCAGCCTCCCAAGTAGCTGGGATTACAGGCACCTGCCACCACGCGTGGCTGATTTCTTGTGTTTTTAGTAGAGATGGGGTTTCACCATGTTTGCCAGGCTGGTCTCTTAACTCCTGACATCAGGTGATCTACCCACCTCAGCATTCCAAAGTGTTGGGATTACAGGTGTGAGCCACTGTGCCCAGCCACACATGTGGCTTTTCAAAGCTAATTAAAATTAAATAAATTTAAAATTAGGTGCATATCAAATGCTCAGTAGCCACACGTGGCTAGTGGTTACCCTATGGGATAGCATAGATATGAAGCCTTTCCATCATCACAGCAAGTTCTGGGCTTTTTTCTGTTCCATTGAGGTATTTGTAGATCCTTTTTTTTGAGACTGTCTTACTCTGCCACCCAGGCGGAATGCAGCAGCAAGAGCTTGGCTCACTGTAACCTCCACCTCCTGGGCTCAAGCAATCTTCCCACCTCAGCCTCCCAAGTAGCTGGGACAAAGGCATGTGCCATCATACCTGGCTAATTTTTAGTAGAGACAGAGTTTCGCTATGTCGCCCAGGCTGGTCTCAAACTCCTGGACTCAAGCAATGTAGTTGGTTAGTCATCATTGTCCTGGACTCAAGCAATATGGTTAGCCATCATTGAGATGGGTCGTAAATGTAAAATACAGACAGAATAACGTGAAGTATTTCGTTAATAATGTTAAATTGACTACACATTGAAATAATATTTTGGCTCTATTGGGTTAAATAAGTATATTAAAATTAAATTTCACTGTTTTTCTTCTATAATGTAAAAATGACATTTTAAATGATGTTGCGGCACTGTTCTAAAATGTTAGTAACTTCAAAAAATTATTTATTTGCAGGTGAAGAAAAAACTCCAGAACAAATTATTCAAGAAAAGCAAATCGAAGCGTATGTTGTATTTTAAAATTTTGTTTATGGTTTTTACTAAGATTTAATCATATTTTTATTATTTCATTGTTGTTAGAGATGGAGTCTGACTATCACACAGGCTGGAGTGCAGTGATGTGATCATAGTTCATAGAAGCCACGACCTCCTGGGTTCTAGGGAACCTCTGGCCTCAGCTTTCTGAGTAGCTAGAACTACAGGCTTATTGTACCACACCCAGCTTTTTTTTTTTTTTTTTGTTGGCGGGGCTGAGTGCCTGTAATCCCAGCACTTTGGGAAGCTGAGGTGGATAGATCACCTGATGTCAGGAGTTCAAGACCAGTCTGACCAACATGGAGAAACCCCGTCTCTACTAAAAATACAAAATTGGCCAAGCTTGGTGACCCATGCCTGTAATCCCAGCTACTCGGGAGTCTAAGGCAGGAGAATTGCTTGAACCTGGGAGGTGGAGGTTGCAGTGAGCCGAGATCGCACCCATTGCACTCCAGCCTGGGCAACAAGAGCGAAACTCTGTCTTAAAAAATATGTATATATATATTTTGTAGAGATGGGGGCCTCACTTCATGCCCAGGCTGTTCTCAAACTCCTGGCCTCAAGTGATCCTCCACCCTGGCCTCCCAAAGTTCTGGGATTGTAGGCAGGAGCCACTGAGCCTGGTCATAATCTCATTTTCTATGCTATAACATTGTCTTTCTTTTTCCTTTCCTTTATTTTTCCAAGTAATTTGTGATGAGTATATTAGGAAATTGTTAATTTGGGATGGAGATTTATATGTACACAAATTATCACGTTAGAACTTTCTGGTCTCCCTTTTTACAAGATACTGAGTCAAGTAGCTCAGGGGCATTAGTTTACCAAGTGTGTAAATAGACATTGGTATATTGAGTCTGTAGAACACTTTTATTTAAATAAATGTGTTTTACTTTTTTCAAGGACTTACTTTATACATTTATTTCAATGTCTTTTGACATGAATAAATAAATACATTCAATTTATTTCAATGTATATTGATATTGCTGAAATTCTTTTGCTCATGTTTCTTTGATAGTAAAATTGAAGACCTGGAAAATGAAATTGAAGAGGCGAAAATTGCTTTTGAGATAAAACAGCTTGCAATTGACAGGTAATTATTACATTTTAAATGCAAGCATTGTGAACTGAAAGCAAAATGGATATGAGGGCAAAGTGGAGGGAATCTTTTAACTGGGCTAAATGACTAGTCAGGCACAATGATGATTAGATAATGGTCATACAAATATTTTATTAATTTTTTTTTTTTGAGATGGAGTCTTGCTCTTTTGCTAGGCTGGAGTACAATGTTGTGATCTCGGTTTACTGCAACCTCCGTCTCCTGGATTCAAGCGATTCCCCTGCCTCAGCCTCCTGAGTAGCTGGGACTATGGGTGTGCCCCCTACAGCTGGCTAATTTTTTGTATTTTAGTAGAGACGGGATTTCACCATGGCCAGGATGGTCTCAGTCTCCTGACCTCATGATCCACCTGCCTCGACATTCCAAAGTACTGGGATTACAGGCTTGAGCCACAGCACCCAGCCTAATATTATTATTATTTTTTTAATTTGACAAGGTCTCACTCTTGCCCAGGCTGGAGTACAGTGACATGATCACTGCTCACTGTAGCCTCAACCTCCCAGGCACAAGTGCTCCAGAGGCATGCACAACCACGCTTGGCTAATTTTTTTTATTTTTTATAGAGACGGGGCCTCACTATGCCGAGGCTGGTCTTGAACTCCTAGGCTCAAGTGATCTTCTCGCCGCACCCTCCCCAAAATGCTGGGATTATAGGTGTAAGCTACCAAGCCCAACTTGGTCACAAAAATTTTGAGCCCTGAGAGAAAATTTGCATTACAGACTTTCCTCAATTTGCTGTGGATTTAGGTACTGATAAACTCATTGTAAGTTGAAAATACAGTAAGTGAAAAATGCATTTAGTACACCTAATCTGGCTGGGCACGGTGACTCATGCCTATAATCCTAGCACTTTAGGAGGCTGAGGCATGCAGATCACCCGAGGTCAGCCTGGCCAACATGGTGAAACCCTGTCTCTACCAAAAATATAAAAGTTAACTGGGTGTGGTGGCACATGCCTGTAATCCCAGCTACTAGGGAGGCGGAGGCAGGAGAATCCCTCAAACCCAGGAGGCAGAAGTTGCAGTGAACTGAGATTGCACCATTCTACTCCATCCTGGGTGACAGAGAAAAAAAAAAAAAGGACTGTTTTAAAGTCTATAGTCATATATGGTTTTATATTCCCTAAGTACTTTCATTTCAGGCCCATCCTGATCTTTTTAGTGCCTTAATGCTTCCACTGGCTTTGCACAAAGTAAATGGTTTAGAGAACTCATTCAGCTCAGGCCAGATTTCAGATTTACCTGGCTTCTCATTTTGGCATTATATACCCCATGCAACAGCCCTATCCATCTTGGTGTTATTTTATATTTCTGTGTTTTATTTCTCAAAATATTTCCCATATAATAATATTTTAAACCTATTTCTGTTTTATGTATATTTGAATCAATCTTTGTCATGTTTTGAATTTTTTTAATATACCACAAATTTTATCCATGTTTTATAATGCAAACTTTTTTTCTCTCATAGGATAAGACTTTCAAGTGCACTTAAAAAAAACCTGGAGAAAATTAGCACAGAGTCTAGGTATGATTTTTTTTTTCCTCTGGATTCAGTAAGGATGGCATCTGCATAGTAACTTATAGTTTTGTGAATTTTTGAAAATTATTATTGCCAACTGTCTTTATCTGGGGAATAAAAAAGGTGATGACATTTTTGTAGGCCCTCCCCAGAATTACAGCAACTTTTATAGTTCTAATGATATTTTGTTCCATATGGATTGTGACTGTACAAAGCAGAAGAGTTTATCCAGAAGGTTGGAAAAATTTAAGGGAAAGCTTTGAAAGTTCATTTTCTTCAATATTTACTATAAACCAGGAACAGGGCTATCTCATTTAATCCATCAAAACCCAATGAGATAGGAAGCATACTCCTCAGTTTTTATTGGTAGAAATGAACTTGTTCGATCAAACAGTTTCTTTATGATATAAAGACTCTAGTAGGTCAGGTCCTCTGTATCCTGGTATCTGGCCTCAGAGGTCTTACCTATGGTCTTACTTCCCAAAGCTCTTGTGATAAAATATCCCCTTCCCTTGAGCACCGGAAAAGTTCCAAGATAGGTCTAGGCACTTTTTTTTTGAGACAGAGTCTTGCTCTGTCACCGAGGCTGAAGTGCAGCTCACTGCAACCTCCACCTCTCGGGTTCAAGCGATTCTTAGCCTCAGCCTCCTGAGTAGCGGGAATTACAGGTGCCTGCCACAATGCCCAGGTAATTTTTATATTTTAAGTAGAGACGGGGTTTCACCATTGGCCAGGCTGGTCTGCATCTAGGCACTTCTATCTTAAGTGTTTTAGCCCACACTGATGCACGTTTTCCCCATATTCCAGCTAAATCCTAATTACATAAATCCAAAAATCTGAATTTGAGCACTCATAATTCTTGCTATTCCATAAAGATTACAGAGGCTCATGCCTGTAATCCCTCCCAAGCCTAAGGCAGGAGGATAGCTTGAGCCCAGGCATTTGAGATCAGCCTATACAACATAGGGAGGCCTCATCTCTACAAAAAAAATTTTTTGGGGGCCGGGCGCAGTGGCTCTAGCCTGTAATCACAGCACTTTGGGAGGCCGAGGTGGGTGGATCACGAGGTCAAGAGATCGAGACCATCCTGGTCAACATGGTGAATCCCTGTTTCTACTAAAAATAAAAAAATTAGCTGGGAGTGGTGGCGCATACCTGTAATCCCAGCTACTCGGGAGGCTGAGGCAGGAGAATTGTCTGTACCCAGGAGGCGGAGGTTGCAGTGAGCTGAGATCGCGCCATTGCACTCCAGCCTGGGTAACAAGAGCGAAACTCTGTATCAAAAAAAAAAAAAATTTTTTTTTTGTTTCTTTGGTTTTGTTTTGTTTTTGAGATGGAATCTTGCTCTGTCGCCCAGGCTATAGTGCAGTGGCACGATCTCGGCTTGCTGCAACCTTCGCCTCCTGGGTTCAAGCGATTCTCCTGCCTTAGCCTCCTGAGTAGCTAGGATTACAAGGTGCCGCCACTACACCTGGCTAATTTTGGTATTTTTTGGTAGAGATGGGGTTTCGCCATCTTCACCAGGCTTGTCTTGAACTCCTGACCTTGTGATTCACCCTCCTCAGCCTCCCAAAGTGCTGGGTTTACATGTGTGAGCCACTGCACCTGACCTCTGCAAAAAATGTTTTAAAATTAGCCAGGTGAGGCCAGGCACGGTGGCTCACGCTTGCAATCCCAGCACTTTGGGAGGCCAAGGTGGGCAGATCATGAGGCCAGGAGTTTGAGACCACCCTGACCAATATGGTGAAACCTTGTCTCTACTAAAAATATAAAAATTAGCCAGGCATGGTGGCGGGTGCCTGTAATCCCAGCTACTAGGGAGGCTGAGGCAGGAGAATCACTTGAACACAGAAGGCAGAGGTTGGGTGAGCTGAGACTGCTCCACTGCACTCCAGCTTGAGCAACAGAGCGAGACTTCAACTCAAAAAAAAAAAAAATCAGCCTGGCATGGTAGAGCTGCCTATAGTCCTAGCTACTCCAGAGGCGGAGGCAGGAGGAAGGATCAGCCTCCTGCCTTGATCCTAGGAGGTCATGAGGCTACAGTAAGCTGTGATCTTGCCACTGCACCTTAGGCTGGGCAATAGTGAGACCCCATCTCAAAAAAAAAAAATTATTGAGTTAAAGGTGTGAGGTGCAGGACAGCAGGAGAGATTCATCATGTTGTCACTGAAATGTCAGAGATTTGGTCTAGGCCCTGTTGCTTGCTGCACAGAAATGTAATCACCGACATGAGTATTGTCAGGAAGAAGGCTTTATTTGGGTACTGCAGCCAAGGAGAGGGGAGATCAGTCTCATCTCCTAGATGGACTAAGATTAAGGCGGTGTTTTGTTTTTTTGAGACGGGGTCTTACTCTGTTGTTCAGGTTGAAGTGCAGTGGTGTGATCATGACTCACTGCAACCTCGACCTCCCAGGTTTAAGCAAGCGATCAGCCTTCCATGTAGCTGGGACTACAGGCACCTGCCACCATGCCTGGCTAATTTTTAAATTTTTTGTAGAGATAGGATTTTGCCATGTTGCCCAGGCTGGTCCTGAACTCAAAGTGATCCACCTGCATTTTGGCCTCCCAAAGTGCTGGGATTACAGGTGTGAACCACCACACCCTGCCAAATTAAGGGTTTATGTAGCAGGGAAGATATGTAACCATGTATGGGAAAACAGAAATTAGGGAGGGGTAAGGAAGAGTAGTCAGTCAATAGGAAGCAGGTAGTTGGTTAGACAGTCATGATGGGTGAGGGGTCTGGTGTCTCATTGTTCAGAGGGGGTGATCTTGTAAGTTTCAGTACCTTGATACTATCTGGGAGGCCTGATGGTTGGTTTCCTGAGAAAGGAACTCAGATAAGATAATTGTAACTTTCTCAAGTTTTAAGACTGGAGAGTCAGTTTTAAATTCATTAAAAAGAAACCATAAACATCAATTCTGTGGGACAATTGGGCCAGTTTCACTGTTGACACCAAAATAAAATAAAATAGTAAAATAAAACTTAATAGTACCCAATCAGAATTTTACTTAATTTTTTTTTTTACTTAATAGTAAAATAAAACTTAAGTGTACCCAATCAGAAACTGATAACTAGAGATGTTCCACTTTATTTTTTATTTTTTATTTTTTTTTGAGATGTTCCACTTTAACCAATCAATTATATTTTCTTATTTTTTTGGAGACAGAGTCTTGCTCTGTTGCCCAGGCTGGAGTGCAATGGCATGATCTCAGCTCACTGCAACCTCCACCTCCCGGGTTCAAGCGATTCTCCTGCCTCAGCCTCCCAGGTAGCTGTGATTACAGGAGTGCACCTGTAATTAAAAAATTAGCATGCCCAGCTAATTTTTTTTGTATTTTTAGTAGAGATGGGGCTTCACCATGTTGGCCAAGCTGGTCTCCAACTCCTGACCTCATGATCCACCTGCCTCAGCCTCCCAAAGTGCTGGGATTACAGGCATGAGCCACCACAGCCAGCCCTAACCAACCAATTATATTTTCTTTCTTTTTTTTTTAAATAAAGATGGGGTTTCACCATGATGGCCAGGCTGGTCTTGAACTCCTGACCTCAGGTGATCCACCCACCTTGACCTCCCAAAGTGGTAGGATTACAGGTATGAGCCACTGGGCCAGGTCAGTTTTCTTTCTTCTATGAACACCTTATAAAAGCTTAATCACTCACCTCCCACAGTAGAGCACTAAACAGCTTACAATCCTGTTCTGCCAGATGCATGAATTGTCTGCTCAAATAAACTTGTTATATTTTAATATGCCTAAGTTTATCTTTTGAGACAATCAAATACAGCTGTAAATCATAGAAAAATGAATTCAGCTCTCCCAGGTTTGTGCAGATTCCCCTTTGGGCCTTCCCAATTAGTTGCTTCTACAGTGTTTTTCACACCTGGCTGACTATCAGATTAATGTATGTTATAATGATCACATTGTTGGTTCTATCCCAGACTTTCTGAATGATCATGTTGTTGGTTCTATCCCAAACTTTGTGAATCAGCATTCAGAAAGTTTGGGATAGAACCAACAACACGATCATTATATTTTTCCCCTTCTTCAAAGAGGAAAGAATCTAGTGGAGGAGAAAAACATCCACAATCATACTGTAGTGCAGTAACGAATGTGAACCAGAGTTATGCACAGGGTGGAATAAAGGGGTAAAGGAATTACCTAGATCAAGTAGTTTGGTATGGCTGGAGAATACTTTCGTTGTATTTTATTTTACATTCCTGGCATGTGGCATAGTTCTTGAGAGCATGTACTAAGTACTCAAAAATATTTGTTGAAGAAGTAGAGTTAAAAAGCAATTTATTCTTTGAAACTATTTGGGAAAAAAAAATAAAAATGATACACTAGAATATGCTGAGTGCATAAGCAAAAAAAAAAACTATTCTGTATGCTGCAATAATGGTGGATACATGTCATTATACATATGTTAAAACACCGAGAATGGGAGGGGCCTCAGTGGCTCATGTCTATAATCCTAACACTTTGGGAGGCCAAAGAGGGAGGATTGCTTCAACCCTGGAATTCCATACCAGTCTGGGCAACATAGGGTGACCCCGTTTCTACAAAAAATTTAAAAATTAGTGGGGCATGGTAGTGTATGCCTATAATCCCAGCTGCTTTGGAGGCTGAGGCAGGACAATTGCTTGAGCCCAGGAGGTTGAGGCTACAGGAAATTGTGATTGTGACATTGTACTGCAGCCTGGGTGGCAGAGTGAGACCCTGTCAGAAAAAACAAACCCATAGAATATACACAAGCAAGAGTGACCCCTGATGTAAAATCTGGATTTTGGGTAACAATGACATGTCGATATAGGTTTGTTGATTGTAACAAATGTGCCACTTTGGTAGCAGATGTGGATAATGGGAGAGGCTATGCATGTGTCAGGGGTAGGGTGTATATGAGAAATCTCTGTACCTTCCTCTCAGTTTTGCTGTGAAAATAAAATTACTCTAAAAATTTTATTCAAAACAAAAGCAGCTTGTTAGGAAATTATTAGGGTGCTTCCTCTCTATGAAATATTTAGAAACGATCCCACATTTTAAAATATGGTATTCTTTTGTCTGTGACCAAACATTTTTCTAGGGAAATGCATCTCTAATTTTCACAAAAATTTATTTTACATCAAACTTTTCCAGATTTCTTTTCTTTTCTTTTCTTTTTTTTCAAGATGGGGTTTCACCATGGTGGCCAGACTGGTCTTGAACTCCTGACCTCAGGTGATCCACCCACCTCGGCCTCCCAAAGTGTTAGGATTACAGGCGTGAGCCACTGTGCCCAGCCCCAGATTTATTTTCTTAAACTAACTTTCTATCCAAATGTATTGTGGAGTTAATCAAAGTAAGTTTTCACTCATTGATTACTTCATTAATGGCAGTTATTATTTTTAACTAAGGTATGAATGAATAACCTTAATAAATCATCTTTTTGTTTCCTTTTCAGTGTGCTCATGGATAACATGAAACACCTATTAAAGCTAAACAAATTAGTAATGAAATCACAGCAGGTAAACTTATACATTAGGCTACTTATGCGTTCTCATGATTTCACTCTCAACTTCTTGCTGGTAACTGTATTGTATATGATTAAATAGGATTATCCAAAGGTAATGCTATGATTGAAATTCACTGTCCTTAAGTTCTCTCTTTTTTTCAAAATTCTATTATTTCTGACTAATGTTGAACATTATCTACTTATAATTTAAGCCACTGTCTTCCTTTGTTGTGTGGAAATAGAAGAATTGAAAACTGGAACTTTAGATAACTAAGGCTAATAGATAACACTCGGTGATTTAAGTATTACAGGTTTGTCCTTACACATAGTAATGTGCTTTAACTTTTTTATTTTTAATAACAGGAATCTTGGGATTTAGAGGAAAAACTGCTTGATATTAGAAAGAAGAGATTGCGTATGTAGAACACTTTTTTTTTTTGGCAGAACATATTTTGCTTACTTTGTAGATTGATAAGGCCATATTTCTTAGCCACTGAGAAATTTCCTAATTTCTAACTTTCAAATTTCTTAAAATTTTTGATATGGCAGTTTAAAAAGTGGAATGTAAAATATATTTTGCTCTATTTATTCTCATTGTTTTAGAAGTTTTATGTCTTTTTTTTTTTTCTTGAGACTGAGTCTCACTCTGTAGCCAGGCTAGAGTGCAGTGGCGCAGTCTTAGCTCACTGCAGCCTCTACCTCTCGGGTTCAAGCGATTTTCCTGCTTCAGCCTCCCGAGTAACTGGGACTATAGGAGTGTGCCACCAGGCCCAGCTAATTCTTGTATTTTTAGTGGAGACGGGGTTTTACCATGTTGGCCAGGATGGTCTCGATCTGATGTTGTGATCTGCCCACTTCGGCCTCCCAAAGTGTTGGGATTACAGGTGTGAGCCACCACACCTGGCCTGTTTCTTTTGTTTGTTTATTTGTATTTTGAGAGTCTTGCTCTGTCACCCAGGTGGGGTGCAGTGGTGCGCTATCTCAGCTCACTACAACCTCCACATCCCTGGTTCAAGTGATTCTTACGTCTCAGTCTCCTGAGTAGCTGGGACTACAGGCACCCACCACCACGCCCAACTAATTTTTGTATTTTTATTTTTAAAAAACATTTTTAATTTTTTTTGAGACAGAGTCTCACTCTTGCCTAGGCTGGAGTGCACAGGCATGATCTTGCTCACTGCAACCTCCGCCTCCCAGGTTCAAGCGATTCTTGTGCCTCAGCCTCCAGAGTAGCTCAGATTACAGGCCTGTGCCACTATACCTGGCTAGTTTTTGTATTTTTTTAGTGGCAATGGGGTTTCACCATGTTGGCCAGGCTGGTCTTGAACTCCTGACCTCAGATAATCGGCCTCCCAAAGTGCTGGGATTATAGGCGTGAGCCACCACTCTATGCCTCATTGTTTGAGAACTTTAAATCACAAAATTAATACATTCTCAGCAGGGGAAAAAATAAAATGATGTGTAGTGAAAAAGTCGTGTCTTTTCTACATGATGACTGTTTGGTATTTATCATTCTAGACTTTTCCACGTCCATGTAAACATTTATATATCCATAATTTCTAAATGATCAAATGGTATGTTTGGATCGACAGCCTTTTCACTTAATTTATCATGACATGAGATGATTTTTTGCACTGAAACTATTGAAATGTTTATTTCAAAAGCAATACATACTCTAGAAGATTTGGAAACAAAAGTATACATTGGAAAAGTTGAATTTTTAAATTTTACATCAATAGATAATCAGTCTTCAGGCTTTTTTTTTTTTTGAGGGGGGTGAGAAAGGATCTTGCTCTGTCACCCAAGCTGGAGTACAATGGCATGATCACGGTTCGTTGCAGCTTCAAACTCTGGGCTCAGCCTACCAGGTAGCTGGGAGTACAAGTGCAGTCATCCATGCCCAGCTAACTTTTGTGGTTTTTTTGGCATAGAATCTCCCTGTGTTACCCAGGTTTATCTTGAACTTCTGCCCTCAATGATCCTCCTGCCTTGGCCTCCCAAAGTACTCGGATTACCAGGCATGAGCTACTGCACTTGGCCAGTATTTCTTTTTCTTTTCTTTCTTTTTTTTTTTTTTTTTGAAACAGTCTTGCTCTGTTGCCCAGGTTGGAGTCCCATGGTGCAATGTTGGCTCACTGCAACCTCCATCTCCTGGGTTCAAACCATTCTTCTGCCTTGGCCTTCCAAGTAGCTGGGATTACAAGTGCATCACCACCATGCCTGGCTAATTTTTATATTTTTAATAGAGACAGAGTTTCAACATGTTGGCCAAGCTGGTCTTGAACTCCTCACTTCGGGTGATCTGCCCACCTCAGCCTTCCAAAGTGCTGGGATTATAGGCATGAGCCACTGCACCCGGCCTCCTTGTTTTTTGAGACTGGGTCTTGTTCTCTTGCTCAGGCTGGAGTGCAGTGGCACGCTAATAGCTCACTACAGCCTTAACCTCCTGGGCTCAATTTTTCACTTGAGCATCCCTAGTGGTCGGGACTACAGGCGCATGCCACCATGCCTGGCTGATTGTTTTCTTATGTAGATTTATTATTTTTTCTGTAGAGATGGGGTTTTACCATGTTGCCCAGGCTGGTATAGAACTCCTGGGCTCAAGTGATCTGCCCACCTTGGCCTCCCAAAGTGGTGGGATTACAGACCTGAGCCACTGCGCCCAACCAGATTTGTTTTTTTGAGACAGGGTTTCACTCTTGTTGCCCAGACTGCAGTGCAATGGGACAATTTCTGCTCACCACAACTTCTGCCTCCCATGTTCAAGTAATTTTCTTGCCTCAGCCTCCTGAGTAGCTGGGATTACAGGCATGCACCATGACACCAGGCTAATTTTGTCTTTTTAGTAGAGACTGGGTTTCTCCGTGTTAGTCAGGCTGGTCTCAAACTCCAGATCTCAGGTGATCCATCTGCCTCGGCCTCCCAGAGTGTTGGGATTACAGGCATAATCCACAGTGCCTGGCTGGTTTGTTTGTTTTTTTTTAAGACGGAGTTTCTCCTTTGTAACCCAGGCTGGAGTGCAATGGTGCAATTTCAGCTCACTGCAACCTCCACCTCCCAGATTCAAGTAGTTCTCCTACCTCAGCCTCCTGAATAGCTGGGATTACAGGTGCCCACCACCATGCCCAGCCAGTTTTTATATTTTTAGTAGAGACGAGGTTTCACTACAGCCAGGTTGGCCAGGTTGGTCTCCAGCTCCTGACCTCAGGTGATCCACCCGCTTTAGACTCCCAAAGTGTTGGGATTACAGGCGTGAGCCACCACACCCAGCCCAAATCTGTTCTTTTCAAACATTATGTAGATTTGCCTGTTAGCAAATAATCTCAGGGTCAGTAATAGTATTGGTCATCTTGTCTAATTCCCCCACTTTTTTTTTTTTTTTTAAGTAGAATCAGGGTCTTGTCCAAGTTAGTCTTGAACTTCTGGACTTAAGTGACTCTCCTGCCTCAGCCTTCCAAAGTGTTGGGATTGTAAGAATGAGCCACCTGTGCTTAGGCTATACTTCTTTGATTTTTCATTTTCTCCACTGTATTTCAACCTTCTTGAATACATTGATGCTGAAGAACAGGCCCCTGAAATACAATCATTTATATTTCCAAGTAGTTTAATTCTTAGACTGTTTCCAGAAATACAAAAATGGGTGATGATGTTTCTCCCGGGAGAGGGGAATCTTAATTTTCTTTTCTTTTTTTCCCTGAGATGGCGTTTCACTTTTGACTTTTGTTGCCCAGGCTGGAGTGCAATGGTATGATCTTGGCTCACTGCAACCTCTGCCCCCTGACGGAGTGATTCTCCTGCCTCAGCCTCCCAAGTAGCTGGTATTACAGGTGTCCGCCACCACTCCCAGCTATTTTTTGTATTTTTAGTAGAGATGGGGTTTCACCATGTTGGCCAGGCTGTTCTCAAACTCCTGACTTAAGGTGATCTCTCTGCCTTGGCCTCCCAAAGTGCTGGGATTACAGGTGTAAGCCACCACACGTGGCCAAAAATATTTCTTTATATGTATTTCCTACTTAGTTTGGCAACCCAAAATAAGCCCTCATTACATGATGCCACTTGAAATATCTGTAGATAGCTGTTATTGTCATACATAAATACCTGGTATATGTCACTAAGGGCATTGCTAAGTACAAAATTAAAATATTGTTATTTTGCATCAGGGAAGTTGTTTTTAAATCAGAATAAAATTGCAACCTAAATTGCTACTAAGTAAAATTTTTCTCTTGACTAAAATAATCAGGAAGTGATCTGCTTCGTGATTTTTCAAGATCCTTGTTTGTAGAGGTATCATATATGGTATATTATTTTATTTTTTAACCTAACAGAATTAAAACAAGCTTCAGAAAGTAAGCTTTTAGAAATACAGACTGAAAAGAACAAACAGAAGATTGATTTGGATGGTATGGAAAACTCAGAGAGGATAAAGATCATACGACAAAACCTACAGATGGAGATAAAAATTACTACAGTTATTCAACATGTGTTCCAGGTAACATTTATATAAACTAATAAGGAAGGTAAAGAACTTTTTTTTTTTTTTTTTTTGAGATGGAGTTTCACTTTTGTCACCCAGGCTGGAGTGAAATGGCATGGTCTCAGCTCACTGCAACCTCTGCCTCCTGAGTTCAAGCAATTCTCCTGTCTCAACCTCCCAAGTAGCTGGGATTATAGGGACCCTCTGCCAGGCCCAGCTAATTTTTATATTTTTTGTAGAGACAGGGTTTCACCATGTTGGCCAGGCTGGTCTCAAACTCCTCACCTCAGGTAACCTGCCCCCTTAGCCTTCCAAAGTGCTGGGATTACAGGTGTGTGCCACTGTGCCTGGCCAACTTTTTGATGATGCTGTTATACAATACTGACTTAACTTTCAGCTAGTTTTGATCCTGATGAAATAATTCAGTGTTTAATTTTGGTCTGTTTACATATATCTGGAATTTGTATATACTTAATGTTTAAGGTCTTGATTTTTTTTTTTTCTTTTTTTCAGACAGTCTCACTCTGTAGCTCAGGCTGGAGTGCAGTGGCATGATCTCAGCTCACTGCAACCTCCGGTTCCTGGGTTCTCCTGGCTCAGCCTCCTGAGGAACTGGGATTATCCTGCCACCACACCTGGCTAATTCTCCTGCCTAAGCAATTCTGCTGCCTCAGCCTCCTGAGCAGCTGCGATTATCCTGCCACCACACCTGGCTAATTTTTGAGACCAGCCTGGCAACACAATAAAACTCTGTCTCTACTAAAATACAAAAATACAGCTAGTTTTTGATCCTGATGAAATAATTCAGTGTTTAATTTTGGTCTGTTTACATATATCTGGAATTTGTATATACCTAATGTTTAAGGTCTTGATTTTTTTTTTTTCTTTTTTCAGACAGAGTCTTACTCTGTAGCCCAGGCTGGAGTTTTGCCATGTTGGCCAGACTGGTCTCAAACTTGTGACCTCAGGTGATGCACCTGGCTCGGCTTCCCAAAGTGCCGGGATTACAGGGTTGAGCCACTATACCCAGCACACTCCAAGTATTTTTAACAAGTAAAACCTATTCATAGAAACTGATGAGGCAGTTATAAATAATAAAAAAGAATTATTTTTTTTTTCTTACTGCAGAGAATAAAGTGAGAGCATAAAAAATTATTGTAAGCATTGTAATATTCCCTAACATGGAGATCAAGGCTAAACCCATGCTAAAAGTGGAAATGAAAATAGAAGAATATGGCTGGGTGAGGTGGCTCATGGCTTTAATCCCAGCACTTTGGGAGACCAAGGTGGGAAAATCATGAGGTCAGGAGATCAAGAGCAGCCTGGCCAAGAGACCAGCCTGTCCAATATGGTGAAATACCATCTCTACTAAAAATATAAAAATTAGCTGGGTGTGGTGGCAGGTGCCTGTTATTTCAGCTACTCAGGAGGCTGAGACAGGGTGCTTGAACCCAGGAGGCGGAGGTTACAGTAAGCCAAAGATACGCCATTGCACTTTATCCTGGGTGACACAGCGAGACTCTGACTCAAAAAAAAAAAGAAAATAGAAGAACATACTAGTTTTTTTTCTTATGATCACAGAGCTACACACCTAATAAATGTTAATTATTTGATAAGATTAGTGTAAATTATATTTTAAATCTTGTTAAATATTTAAAGTACTTATAACTTTAAAACATTTTTTTTTTTTTTTTTTTTTTACAGAACCTTATTTTGGGGAGTAAAGTCAATTGGGCAGAGGATCCTGCCCTTAAGGAAACTGTTCTGCAACTTGAGAAGAATGTCGACATGATCTAATAAGAATTGATTTCTGTTCTGGTCAACATGGTGAAACCCCGTCTCTACTAAAAATACAAAAAATTAGCTGGGCATGGTGGCACGTGCCTGTAATCCCAGATACTCAGGAGGCTGAGGCAGGAGAATTGCCTGAACCCAGGAGGTGGAGGTTGCGGTGAGCCGAGATCGCGCCATTGCACTCCAGCCTGGGTAACAAGAGCGAAACTCCGTCTCAAAAAAAAAAAAAAGAATTCATTTCTGACATAGTTTACATTTCTGGCAGTCCCAACTCTTATTTGGAATATTTTTATGCATTTGTTTGTCAACTGTAATTTTAGAATATCCATAGCGTTTACAGTCGTGGTTAGTTATTTGTTATTGGGATTGAAAAAAGTGACTTTAAAATATATATTTCTATATTTAGTTTGCTTTTTTTTTTGAGAGAGAGTCTGGCTCCGCCGCCCAGACTAGAGTACAGTGGTGCGATCTTGGCTCACTGCTACCTCCAACTCCCAGGTTCAAGCAATTCTCCTGCCTCAGACTCCTGAGTAACTGGGACTAAAGGTGCACACTGCCACACCTGGCTAATTTTTTGTATTTTAGTAGAGATGGGGTTTCATTGTGTTGCCAGGCTGGTCTCAAACTCCTGAGCTCAGGCATTTCCACTGCCTTGGCCTCCCAAAGTAGCAGGATTACAGGCATAAGCCACCGCACCTGGCCTAGTTTGCATTTTTGGTATCAGTTATATAAGTTAAGAAATATAAGGAATTGATGTTACTCTGTCTTTTTTTTTTAAAAAAATTCATGCCCTTTACAAACAGTAGTACTCTATCTTAGTAATTATAAAATAGAACTTGCCACTTTTTATACATCACAGTCCATTTTTGAAAAACTAATTTGAGCACTTAATATGGAGCTGTTGAACATTTTTACAGCTAATGTATTTTCAACATTCTTTGTTTGTTTGTTTCCTTGAGACAGAGTCTCACTCTTTCACCCAGGCTAGAATGCAGTGGTGTGATTTCAGCTCACTGTAACCTTCATTTCCCAGATTCAAGCAATTCTCATGCCTCAGCCTCCTGAGTAGCTGAGATTACAGGTGTGGGCCACCATGCCCATCTAATTTTTTGTATTTTTAGTTGAGACGGAGGTTTCACCATGTTGGTCTGGCTGGTCTCGAACTCCTGACCTCAAATTATCCGCCCGCCTTGGCCTCCCAGACTCCTGGGATTACAGGCATGAGCCACTGCACCTGGCCTCAACATTCTTTAAGGACTTTTAACCTAAAATGATGGTAGCTTTTTTTTTTTTTTTTTTCGTGAGATGGAGTCTGGCACTTTTGCCCAGGCTAGAGTACAATGTGGCATGATCTCAGCTTACTGCAACCTCCGCCTCCCAGGTTCAAGGGATTCTTCTACCTCAGCCTCCCTAGTATCTGGGACCACAGGCATGTTGTATGACACCTGGCTATTGTGTTTTTTGGTATAGATGGGATTTTGCCATGTTGCCCTCGTGGTCTCAAACTCCTGAGCTCAAGCCATCCACCCACCTTGGCCTCCCAAAGTGCTGAGCCACTGCACCTGGCCAAGTGCCTGCTTAAAGATCTATTCTGAGAGAGAACTTGTATTAACTCTTCCTGAAATAATACTGAATAATAACCCCAAATCTCAGTGGCTTATAACAAGACATTTCTGTTTTGGGGCTGTGCTTCAGCTGCTAATTCTAGGACTCAGGCTGAGGGAACAGCCACAATCTGAAACATTCTCATGGCATAGGGCAGGAGTTTATGAAGCCAAGTTCAATTACACCAGTATGATTAAAGCTTCTGTTTGAAAGAGGTGGACATTGATGAAACCTGACATCATTGCGGCAGAAAAGTATACTTCTCCCATGGCAGGGGAGTGCTGGGTTTCAGAGTTGGAGAAATAAAACGGGTATTTACTGAAAGAATACAATCTATTGGGCCGGGTGTGGTGGCTCATGCCTGTAATCCCAGCACTTTGGGAAGACGAGGTGGGTGGATCAAGAGGTCAAGAGATTGAGACCATCCTGGCCAACATGGTGAACACCATCTCTACTAAAAATACAAAAAAATTAGCTGGTGTGGTGCATGCCTGTAGTCCCAGCTACTCGGGAGGCTGAGGCAGGAGAATTGCTTGATACTGGAAAATGGAAGCTGCAGTGAGCGGGGACCACACCACCGCACTCCAGCCTGGCGATAGAGCAAGACTCCATCTCAAAAAAAAAAAAAAAAGAATACAGTCTATTAAACTCAGCTATCTTGGTCATAAATATTAACTTCCTTTCTGCGTTCTGCATGCAAAAGACACTTCCCAACGAAGATAAGAGATAATGCTAATAGTGTCATCCAATTGTTAGCTTTTTTTCAAAGTTTAGTCTTTCATATCAGGTCCAGATATAACCCTTCATCTAGAGACTTGTGAACTGAAAAGACATATCAACTCACACATCCAGCAAACAACAGTGGAACAGGTCTGCAGTCTGTAGCAATTTTTTTTTTTTTTTTAAGTAGAGACATGGTCTCACTTTGTTGCCCTTGCTGGTCTCAAATTCCTGGGCTAAAGCTGTCTACCCACCTCAGCCTCCTCTGGTGCTGGAACTACAGGTGTGAGCCAGCACACCCAGCCAAAATCTTAAGTATTACTTGGCAAATGATAGGAGATTCCCCTTCCTAGGGGATAGGGAATGACATTGATGAGGCTCTTGTATTGCTTCCTGGAAGCACTTCATTCAGGTTCTTCACTCTGCCTGTGGAAAGGTTCTACCTCTTTCATTATCAATGTTGGCCATATCTCTGAGGAGGGCATTAGAGAGTATGTCCTTCTGAGCAGCTTTCTCAAGTTGGGGACACAAAGATGTTTTACATCTACAACAGTTTTTGTTTGTTTGTTTTTGAGATGGAGTCTGGCTCTGTTGCTTAGGCTGGAATGCAGTGGTACCATCTCACCTCACTGTAACTCCCCACATCCCAGGTTCAAGGGATTGTCCTGCCTCAGCCTGCTGAGTAGCTAGGACTACAGGTGCACACCACCATGCCTGGCTATTATTTTTGTAGTTTTAATAGACACAAGGTTTCACCATGTTGGCCAGGCTGGTCTCAAACTACTGATCTCAAGTGATCCGCCTGCCCTGGCCTCCCAACGTGCTAAGATTACAGACATGAGCTACTGCGCCCAGCCTTGGAGAGAGATATTTTCTATTATTATTTTTTTATATGGAGTAGATATATTTTCTAAGGCCAGAAAATCCACCTATGGATTATGTTCTACAAAAAGGACAGAAGAACCAAACTGATGATACCATATCACTAAAAAACTCAGTGATCAGGGCATGGTGGTGCATGGCTATAGTTCCAGCTGCTCAGGAGGCTGGGGCAGAAGGACTGTTTGAACCAGGGAGTTTGAGGCTGCAATGAGCTATAATGGTGCCAGTGCACTCCTGCCTGGGTTACAGAGTGAGACCGTCTCAAAAAACCAAAAACATAAAACCCTCAGTGGTAGTTCTCTGCTGTTTAAGGCTAACAATAAAAGACTATTAGAGAGCTGTATGGGCAGGGCCACCCCTGAGACTCCAGACCTGTAAAGCTACCAACACGCAATACCTGCCTGAGAGAGCCCAGGCACCTCTCTTCAACTTCTGAGGGCTGCTGGGTTGGCGGTGCCCAGCAAAACCATGGGGTAGGGCTGCCTGGGGCTTTGGGGTCCAACCTCTATCCCAATGCATCCAGAAGGCAAGATACTGAGTTAAGAGCCAATGTTTGCTTTGTTGGATGTTTTACTTAGGACCTATTACTCATTTTTTCTTGCCTATTTATCCCTTTTGGAATGAGAATGTCCCATCATAGTGTTTTTGTGCAGTATGTATTTGATTTCACAGGCTCACAGCTGGAGAAGAATTTGCCTCAGGTTGAATCATGCCTCTGATCTGTCTGCCTCAGCCTTCCAAAGTGCTGGGATTACAGGTATGAGCAACTGCACCTAAAAAATGTATTTTGCATGTGAGAAGTACAAATTTTGGGGGCCAAGCTATGGTCTGAATGTGTCCTTGAAAATTTATCTGTTGAAAATTGCCAGTGTGACAATACTAAGAAGTAGGGCCTCCAGGAAATGATTAAATCATGAGTACAGAGCCATCATGGATGAGATTAAGGCCCTTAAAAAAAGGTTTGAAGGCCAGGCATGATGGCTCACACCTGTAATCTCAGCATTTTGGGAGGCCAAAGCGGGTGGATCGCCTGAGGTCAAGAGTTCGAAACCAACCTGGCCAACATGGCAAAACCCCATCTCTACTAAAAATACAAAAATTAGCCAGGCATGGTCGTGGACACCTATAATCCCAGCTACTCTGGAGGCTAAGGCAGGAGAATCACTTGAACCCTGGAAGCAGATGTTGCAGTGAGCTGAGTTTGCAACACTGCACTCCAGCCTGGGTGTCACAGCAAAACTCTGTCTCAGAAAACAAAGGGAGGGGGTTATGGACAGATCGGAATAGACCACATTTGGTTCAGTAATTTATATTTCTTTTCTTTTTTTTTGAGATGGAGTCTTGCACTGTCGCCAGGCACCAGGCTGGAGTGCAGTGGCACAATCTCAGCTCACTGCAATTTCCACCTCTTGGGTTCAAGCAATTCTGCCTCAGTTTCCCGAGTAGCTGGGACTACAGGCACACGCCACTACGCCAGCTAATTTTTTTGTGTTTTTTAGTAGAGTCGGGGTTTCACCATGTTGGCCAGGATGGTCTCAATCTCTTGACCTCGTGATCCGCCTGCCTCGGCCTGCCGAAGTGCTGGGATTACAGGTGTGAGCCACCGCACCTGGCCAGTAATTTATATTTCTAAAAAGCTCCTAAGACTTAAAAATGATTGATGTATATCATCAAAAATATTGATCAAGCTTACAATACTATATATAACATAAGCATTATTTATCGCAGAATGTAATGTAACTTTTTTTTTTTTTTTTTTTTTTTTTTTGAGACAGAGTCTCCTCTGTTGCCCAGGCTGGAATGCAGTGGCTCAATCTTGGCTCACTGCAAACTCTGCCTTCCAGGTTGAAGCAATTCTCCTGTCTCAGCCTCCCAAGTAGCTGGGACTACAGGTGCCTGCCACTATGCCTGGCTAATTATTAGATTTTTAGTTGAGACGGGGTTTCACCATGTTGGCCAGTCTGGTCTGGAACTCCTGACCTCAGGTATCTGCCTGCCTCGGCCTCCCAAAGTGCTGGGATTACAGGCGTGAGCCATAGCACCCTGCCTGTAATGTAACTTTGGGGGAAAGATATGACTGGCTTACATTTCAAATATTTCTGAATTTCTGAGTTCTCTCAAACTTAAAGCAAAGGCCCAGCAGTTCAATATCAGGAGTTATGAATCGAAAACAGTAACAAATTGAAATCAAGCAATGCCAATAAGCAAGAGACTGTGATGTGGCCCTTAGTAAGCCAGAGTAAACTTGTGAGCTTGCGGCTAACTCCCGTTTTAACATAATTATTCATTTTAGGAAGCTGCAAGATTTTTGTTCATATTTTACTTTAATTTCTATCTTTGCAAGAGCTGTCAGATCAGAAGCCTGTATTATTTATTTGGTTTCAGATAAAATTTTGAACTATCGAAATTATAAACTGGCTTTCTGGGAAAAAAAAAATAGTCCTAGACAATATGCTAATGAGCAAAACAGACCTACCATCACAAAACTTAGTCCCCAAAACGAAAACCACAAAAAACACGTGGGTCGATCCCAGGCGGGAGGAGCAAGGGGCGGGGTGAGACGCAAGGGGCGAGGCCAATCCCACGGCGGCGAAGGGGGCAGCCTGGGCTCCTCCTCCGTGACGTCCCGGGAAGCTCCGCCCCCAACTCCCTGGGACTCCGGTGATACCCGCGGCTCGCTCGCGTCCCGGAAATTGCCCCTTCTCGGGGGTCATGATGGGCAGCAAGATGGCGTCTGCCAGTAGAGTCGTTCAGGTAAAGCTATTTGTCGCGTTTTCGCACGTTGGGCGGTAGGGACGGTGCTGACTATACGGCGTCGACGAAGAAAGGCGGTGGAAGAGGCTGCGCGGTGGCCGCGGCTCTGCGGGGGTCAGCAGCGGCGCCCGCGGGTGGGTGTGTGAGGATGGGACTTTCAGCCCGCTTGGCCCTGTAGTGGGGTGGGTCCGGCGCCTTGGTTTCGAGCCTGGCGGCAGGCGTGCAACATCTTGGCAAGTAAGTCCTGTACCTACTGCTGGGGTCCCCCCGGCTCCTCCGCCAGGATCTTCTTAGTCTTAGGCGTCTGCGGTTCAGGCGGCCCTGGCGGTAGCCTGGCCAATCGCCGTCTAGGATTGGCTGTGGTGGCCCCCCCCCGCCCCTATCAGCCAATCGGAAAGATGGCGGTAGCGGGGCGTAAAAGGAAGCGTACTCTGGATCTGACCCAGTCAGTGTCCCTTCAAGGTCTCGGGAATGGTTGGACAACTGGCCCCGTGTGCCGCGTCCTCGCCGAAGCGGGTAGATTTCTCTCCAGGCTTCTTGCTTCAGGGCAGATAAGGGGAATAGAAAAATGTTATTTAAGCTTACTTAATGTGTGTTGGTTTCACAAGCCTATTTTCCCTTGGTTTAGATAGACAACTCAATTAATTTTGTTAATCCACCTATCAACTACTAACTCCTGTTAACCTTTTTGTTTCTCCAGCTGCGGTTTTAACTTGGGTAAAATTGTCATATAAGTGGAACACAACCTCCATTTTTGTGGTTGGTTTACATAGTCTTTGAACCCTGAAAGTGTATTATTTTATAATTGACTTTTAGCTTTGATATGAGAAGTACATTTCACTTTACATAAATGCATTTGTTAAAAGACCTTTTTCTAAATTTTTTTTTTTTTTTTTTTGAGACGGAGTTTCGCTGTTGTTACCCAGGCTGGAGTGCAATGGCACAATCTCTGCTCACCGCAACCTCCGCCTTCTGGGTTCAAGCAATTCTCCTGCCTCAGCCTCCCGAGTACCTGGGACTACAGGCGCGCACCACCATGCCCAGCTAATTTTTGTATTTTTAGTAGAGACAGGGTTTCATCTTGTTGACCAGGATGGTCTCGATCTCTTGACCTCGTGATCCACCCGCCTTGACCTCCCAAAGTGCTGGGATTATAGGCGTGAGCCACCGCGCCCGGCCTAACCTTTTTCTAAATTACCCAAATTGTTGTCTGAATGATAATCCTAGATCCCAGTCTTTGGTCCCATTGCAATGAATGATCCTCACCTATTCAGTGGGTGGTTATTGAGCATTAACTAAAGATCCTGTAAGGACTGAGAGACTATTTGACAAAGATCTGTTATCTATAATATATAACCTTATGTATAAATAATAACAATTTTAAAAATGGGTAAAAGGACCGGGTGCGGTAGCTCATGCCTGTCATCCCAGCACTTTGGGAGGCCAAGGTGGGTGGATCACGAGGTCAGGAGATCGAGACCACCCTAGCTAACATGGTGAAACTCCGTCTCTACTAAAAATGCAGAAACTTAGCCGGGCGTGGTGGCACGTGCCTGTAGTCCCATCTACTCGAAGGCTGAGGCAGAAGAATCGCTTGAACCTGGGAGTTGGAGGTTGCAGTGAGCTGAAATTGCGCCACTGCACTCCATCCTGGGTGACAGAAAGACTCTGTCTCAAAAAAAAAAAAAAAAAAAAAACTTTGGGAGGCCGAGGCGGATGGATCAAGAGGTCAAGAGATCGAGACCATCCTGGTCAACATGGTGAAACCCCGTCTCTACTAAAAATACAAAAAATTAGCTGGGCATGGTGGCGAGTGCCTGTAATCCCAGCCACTCAGGAGGCTGAGGCAGGAGAATTGCCTGAACCCAGGAGGCAGAGGTTGCCGCGAGCCGAGATTGCACCATTGCACTCCAGCCTGGGTAACAAGAGCAAAACTCCGTCTCAAAAAAAAAAAAAAAGGGTAAAAGACTTGGTGTTGCACAAAAGTTACCCAAATGAGCAACAAACATTTTAAAAAGTGCTCAATATCATTACATTACTTGCCAGGAAAATAAAAATTAAAAACAGGAGGTCCTATACATCTACCAAAATGACTAAAATTTAGACATCAGTGGTGAGAATGTGAAGCTCCTGAAACCCTCAGTATTGCTGGTGGGAGTATAAAATGTTACAACCACTTTGGAAAACTGTCAGTCTCTAATAGTTAAACATGTATCTATCATATGACCCAGCAATTCTACTCATAGGTTTATTGCCCAAGAGAAGTGAATGCACATACTGTCTCTGTACCTGAATGTTTCATAGAAAAAAAAGAGTTACTAGCAGAGTCACTAGATGCCAGGAGTGTGGCATCTCAGCAGGTAGGTATTGTACATACTGCCCTGGGGTCCCTGGTAGCCCCCAAACCAGAAACAATCCATATGTCCATCTTTTGCATAAACAAATTGTGGTAGTTTTGTTAAAATGGTAGAGTCCAAAGCAGTACTAACTCAAAGCTGATATACACAAACAAATGAAGAAACTGCGAGATACTCAGTAAGGAATGGTCTGTGCCCTTCTAACATAGGAACAAAGACCTGTACTCAAATATGTAGAATTCAAACTAGGTTCCTGACTGCCCTCTACAAACCAGTATGTGCTAATATTATGTAAAAATTACATAAAACATTAGCAAAATTTATTATCTCTGTGACAGGCCTACAAAGCTAGGACTACAGTGCCAACAAGAGATAGAGTTTAGGCCAGGCTCACTGGCTTATGCCTGTAATCCCAACACTTTGCCAGGTTGAGGCAAGAGGATGGCTTGAGTCCAGGCGTTCAAGACCAGCCTGGGCAACATAACAAGACCCCATCTCTATAAAAATTTTTTTAATTTGTTGAGCATGATGACATGCACCTGTGGTCCCAACTACTCAGAGGCTGAGGTAGGAAGATCACTTGAGCCCGGGTGATCAAGGCTACAGTGAGCTGTAATCATGCCATTGCATTCCAGCCTAGCCAATAGAGCTAGACCCTGACTCAAAAAAAAAAAAAAAAAAAAAGACATAGAGCTTAGAATTCAGCTGTTGATCCATATCTTGAAGAGTGCCAAAAGACTGATTGGCACAAACTGATAGGAAGTCACAAAACATGGTCTCAGAACATTAAGTAAAGACAAAGCAGGCAGGGTGTGGTGGCTCACACCTGTAAACCCAACAGTTTGAGAAGCCAAGGTGGGAAGATTGCTTGAGTCAGGAGTTCAAGATCAGCCCATGCAACATTCCAAGACCCCATCTCTATAAAAATTAACCAGGCAGGAGTGGTGGTGTGTGGTGTGTACATGTAGTCCTAGCTACTCAGGAGGCTGAGGTGGAAAGATCGCTTGAGCCCAGGAGTTTGACACTGCAGTGAACCATGATTACTCCACTGCACCCCAGCCTGTGTAACAGAGCAAAACCTGGTCTCAAAAATAAATAATAAAATACATTTTCAAACTGGCTACCAAATGGAAATCCAGTGCTATGCTATTTATAAGAGGCATAGCTAAAACTAAGATTTGGAAAGGTAAAAATAAAGAGATAGTCAACTGATCTTTGACAAAAGGAGCAAAGGGAATACAATGGAGAAAAGACAGTCTTTTCAACATGGTGCTGAAAAAAATTGGATATCCATCTAGACAGACCTCACATCCTTCACAAAAATTAACTCAAAATGGATCACAGACCTAAATGCAAAATGCAAAACTATAAAATCCTTAGAAGATAACACAGGAGAAAATAAAAATAACCTTGGGTTTAACAAAGACTTTTAACACCAAAGGCATTATCCATGAAAAACTAATTGATAAGCATGACTTCATTAAAATAAAAAACTTCTGCTCTGTGAGACACTATCAAAAAAAGGCAAGCCACATACAGGGAGAAAATACTTCCAAAAGATATATCTGATAAAAGACTTGCAGAAAACAGAAGAACTCATAAATAAGAAAATGAATGACTGAATTTTAAAATGGGCAAAACAGCTGAACAGACACCTCATGAAATAAGATACACACACTTTGGGAGGCTGAGGTGGGTGGATCACTTTTGCCCAGGAGTTCTAGACCAGCCTGGGCAACATAGTGAAACCCTGTCTCTACAGAAAATACAAAAGTTAACTGAGTGTGGCGGTGCACACCTGTAGTCCCAACTACTTGGGAGGCTGAAGTGGGAGGATTGCTTTAAGTGGGAGGATCACTTGAGCCAGGGAGATCAAAGTTGCAGTGAGCTGAGATCAAACCACTGTACCCCAGCCTGGGCAACAGAGCGTAACCCTGTCTCAAAAAGAAAAAAAAAAAAAAGTATACAGATGACAAATAGGTCTATGTAAAGATACTCAGCTGAGCAACGGTGGCTCACGCCTGTAATCCCAACACTTTGGGAGGCCAAGGCAAGTGGATCACCTGAGGTAAGGAGTTTGAGACCAGCCTGGCCAATATGGTGAAATCATTGTCTCTACTAAAAGTACAAAAACTAGCCAGGTGTGGTGGTATACACCTGTAATCCCAGCGACTTGGGAGGCTGAGTCAAGAGAATCACTTGAATCTGGGAGGCAGAAGTTGTAGTGAGCCGAGATCATGCCATTGTACTCCAGCCTGGGCGACAGAGACTCCGTCTCAAAAAAAAAAATAAATAAAGATATATAAAATCATATGTTATTAAGAGAATTTCAAGTTAAGGCAGCCATTACACACCTATTAGAATGGCCAAAATCCAAAACATTTGACAACACATAATGCTGACAAAGATGTGAACTCTCATTACTATCCCATCTAACAGGAACTCTCATTCATTGCTAGTGGGAATGCATGCAAAATGGTACAGCCACTTTGGAAGGTAGTTTAGCAATTTCTTTCTTTCTTTTTTAGACACATGCCACCATGCCTGGCTAATTTTTGTATTTTTTATAGAGTCAGGGTTTCACTATGTTGCCCAGGCTGGTCTCGAACTCTTGGACTCAAGCGATCCACCTGCCCTGACTTG